GTTGTATTCGCTGGGCAGCTGGCACAGAGATTCCTGATAAGACTATGCACGCTGTTCTCGATGCCTATCACACAACTTGGATGCAACATGGCCCTGCTAAGATCCTATACTCCGATGGGGAAGGAGCGCTGAATAACGATACAGCAAAGGCCATCCTTAAATCCAAGGGAACAGAGCTTCGTATCCGAGCGCGTGGCCAGCACGCCACGACTATCGAAGCTAGGAACGGCATCCTGCGACACCTCATACACGTGATGGGAGAAGAACTGAATAGATTGAACATCCCTCTGAATTTCACTCGTCTCTTACATGAAGCCTTGTTTGCCAGCAACGCATTTACCTTCTACAACGAAGTGTCTCCGTATAATGCGCTGTATGGCAGACAACCAGCTATGCTTCCCGATTTCCCTGTCCTGGATCATGATCAGTCCGCTGAATCATCAGATCACTCAAAGGAAGAGACAATCAGGAGGGTTAGTCTGGTGGCAATCACGCAGGCCACTGCGGTTGCCAAGACGAACAGGGCTCTTCGTACGAAGACTACTGCTACGGGTGAATTTCACTACAAAGAGGGAGATCTCGTGGACTATCATCGCCCGGCCACCACGAAAGACGACTGGGGTGGATGGAGTAGTCCATACCCGGTCATCCGCAACGAACCTGACCGAGGCCAGGTCATCGTGAAGGTCGGCAATCGCGAAGTGCGAGTACAGTATCCTGACTCACGACATACGCTGTACATCGAAGCACTGATGGTCCGCGAGATAGGATCGGACAATACGGCCCTTCGGACAGTATTGGCCTTTATTGCCGGTCTGCCAGCGGGGAAACCCGCTATGACTTTCGGATACCTACCAGCGAAACAGGGCCGACTGCAGATGACTGCTGCGAGCCGGCTTTCGCCTAAGGTGCACTTGGCTCTTCAATATCTCATTCGCAACTATTTTCGCATTGAAAACGTGGTTGCTGTACGACTTGCTAAGAGCCTGACTAAGTTGCCTGCTGCACCATATGCAGACAGCTGTACACTAGTGCACTATGATAACGATGTGACCCCTGGCTTTCATTATTATGAAGCTGATGGCACTGCCTTGAACATCTACGACATCACAGGGTCTACACATTCACGCATCATCCAGTGTCTTAAATCCAAGAAGCCGCTTGCTGGATTCGACCGAGACCTCACTAAGTTTGAGGAACTCGCTGATGGTTCACCACCAAGCGAGCCACCTCCAGCAGCTGCTCCTGAGCAGCCTCCTGCGGCGAATGATGGTCGGCTCCCGACCATCATAGAGGAAACAGAAGAGGATCTGGATGTCTTTGTCTTGGAGTCATGGTATGCTGAACTGATGGATGACAGAACACTCCTTGAAGCTGACACAGAAGAAGTCATGCACGCAGTTCCGACATACATGACAGACTCACAGTGCGTGTTGGTCTGTACGACCTGTGAAGATGTGCAAGGCCACTTGCCGGTGCGGGGTCACCCGCCAGGATACGACATGGACACCTCTTACTACGTCCCTCTGTGCTCCACTGATCCGGACAGCCACAATGATCTGGACTCCGACGAGCATGGGAAGTACATCGAGCTTTGCTTCGCAGCAGACATGTCCAAAGTCGTCCTGTCCGAGCAGCAACGCCGATTGTTGGATGACAGCAGCGTCACAACTATGCGAGTATATGTTAGTGCTGCCTCCAAACGTGCCGTGCTCGTCAAAGGAGACGACCTACTCACGAAGGCCGACATTCAAGCGAATCCGGTCAAAGTTTCCAAAGCCCTTTACACAGAATTGAAGACTTGGCTTGACAACAAATGCTTCCAGATGACTGACTTGAGCAAAGCGTCGAACATCATGACTTCACGCTATGTATACACATGGAAGTTTGTCAAGAACGAGAAGGGCGAAATGGAACGGACGATCAGGTTACGCTTGGTACTTCGTGGCTTCATGGACATTGAAGCCTTCGATGTCGAAACCTTCTCTGGCACGGCAAGGAGGTCAAACCAGAGATTGCTCGCAAGTTCTGCTGCATGCAACAAAGCTTGGATCATCGCTTCCCTGGACATCAACATGGCTTTCTTGAAGGGACTGACCTATGGCGAGCTCGCCGCGGCAACTGGCGAGAAAGAGCGTGTGGTGTGCTTCACACTACCTCCTGGGTCAGCAGCTGTCCTTCGCACATTGCCAGGCTTTGAGTCATATGACGAATCAAAGCATTGTCTTCGGTGCCTCAAGCCGGGGACTGGCACGAAGGATGCCCCCAGGGCATTCTCGCTGAAGCTCAGGTCCATCACCAGGAGCTTTGGACTACAGCCTACTTCATACGACGAAGAGTTCGAGATGAGTTCAAACCTCTTGACAGCCAAACACGTTGATGACATCAATATGACTGGGAAGGAAGATTCCATTGACAAGTACGTCAAAGGTGTTGAAGATACGTTTGGAAAGTGCAAACTGAACAAGCACACGTGCACAAATTGTGCCGTTCGGTACAACAAGACCAATGATGGGAGCGTCACTCTTGATCAGGACGAATACATCAAACAACTTCGTCCTATCGCACATCCAGAGCTCACAGGCGCTGATCCTGAGAGCAAAGCGACAAAGACGATTTCTGATATGTTCGTCAGTCTTCGTGGCGCTCTAGCCTATGCGTTGATCACGCAGGTATGGCTGATGGTCTATGTTGTTTCACTGCAACGTATCCAGGAACCGACAAACATCCAGGTACGACGACTGAACGCGGTTACCAGGAAATTGCAGGCAGGTCCGAAGAAGATCGTGTATCAAGCTATGACTCCAACAGGAGAGGTCGACCTGCATAGCGATTCTGGCTATCGTCGTCTCAACGGAGATGAAGACGACGAAGTCAAAGGCTACGGTATCCGCGGGGCTAACCTGCTGAGGCGTGGCCACACGCAAGCGGGGAAACCCGTCGTGCACCTGGTGGACGCATACTGCAAGTCTCATCGACTGCAGGTGCGTTCGAGCTACTCTGCGGAAACACTGGCAGCAGCCCACAACTTGGAAGACTGCTACCCGACCATTGTAACGCTCCACGAGCTACACTCGGGACCATTGACCCCCACACAGTTGAAGAACATATTGGAACTGGGTGGTCTATGTATCAAAGTCACTCTGACTATTGATGCCGAGTCTGTCTTCAAGTCTTTGTCTAGCAAAGATCTGAAGAAGCCCACAGAATGCACTCTGCTTGGGCACATCAGCTGGATCCGCCAGATGATGGAGCGCGGAATCGTTGAAAGCGCCCAATGGTGTGACACGCGGGATATGACTGCCGATGGTCATACCAAAGGTAGTATTGACCGCGCGTTGCTCCTACAGGTAATGGCCGGTCAGCAATCCTTCAAGCACGAGCTGAAGAAACATACTCCGTATAGGGCGGGCAGGTCGTCTCAGGACGGCCCTGCCTCCCGAGCTAGCGGGGAAACCCGCGCGCAGGTGCGCTTTAGTAGCGAGGAAACTCGCCGGTAGCGAGGCTACTCGCGCGCCCTTGCCTTGTAGGCAGCCGCTGTTGCCTAGCACTGTTTTTTCCGCGTAATGTAGAAATTCGGTGCTTGCTCGTCTCCTCCCCCTCCAACTTTAAACGGAGAGGGTTAAAGGCGAGATGTAAATCGAGCATGCACCGCTGCCGTGCCTGGCTCAAGCCGGGCCCGGCCGAACATGTGATTGTGCCTCACCGAGGCGCACTACTCGCATCTGAGATCGGAAAAGACCTTTCTATTGAAGATGCCCCTTCTATCCTTTACTCCAGATCCCATGCTTCATCTTGCTCTCTTGCTCATGCGGTATGAGCCAAAGCCTGGGATATGGGAGCGCCTAAGGCGGAACATATATCTTGGCTTACCAGTGCGTTTTCGACTGCAGCTCTAGGATGAGCCCTATCATCAGTATCGTTTATCCGACCCCCATCCCCATCCCCATCCCCTTCGAGACCCCCACCAAATTACCCCCCCAGTTGGGGATACACCCCTCGAAACCCGAAGCGAACGACCTATATCCCCATCCAGGGGAATTAAATCGGCCAGCGGGGCCCAGGACACGCCGCTGGGGATGGAGATCGGTTAAACGATACTCAGGCAGACTGTTGTGTTGCATCGCCTGGCCCCCCAAACTGGCGTCTTCTCTTGTGCCCGGCGCGGACTCGGTGCGGATTCGACGCGGATTGGGCGTGGATTCGACGTGGATTAGATGCGGGTCCGAAGAGATCGACATGCATTCGTCACGGATTCGACGCGGATGGGGCCGCGATTGGACAGACAAGGTCCCCCGAGGATGCAACATAAGGTAGTGATGACGGACTGGGCATGTGGGGTGGGGGGGCGTCGCCGCGGCTGGATTCGCCCTGAAGTCTCGGTCAGGACGCGCTCCAGGACAGGTCTGGGGGTTGACTCAGGAGGCCCAAGGCCTCCTCAGGAATCGGAGGAGGCGGCGGCGGCGGGGGAGGATCGATCGATCGTGTTGTAGGGCCGATGTCGGGAGCAACTCCTCCTCTAAGCTAGAGCAGTGCGGTTGCTGAAAAAATCTAGCTCGGCCTGGCTGCGGTCTCTTCGTGCACTGGGGGAGCAGACGCCACCAGACGTTCGGGCCCAGCCTGCGCTGTCCTGCCCTTACTGGGCCCTGGAAACGACAGGGCCGTTTCTTTACAGGTTCCGTTTTGCCGTTTTTGTTGCCGGTTCCGACGCCGTTGTTTTACCGGTTCCGCCGCCGTTGTTTGATCGGTTCTGGCTCTGGTTCCAATCCTGGAGCCGTTTTTTTGCCGTTTCTGGTCGCCGTTTTTTTGCCGTTTCCTTGTTCAAGGAGCATTTCTGTCGAAACGGTGTAAAATCGGCCTTGCCGCTTCCGGGGCCCACTAAGGTCTTGCCCCACGCAGGAGGGGGCTGAGGAGCAGGACGACAGTGAGAGCAGTGGCGACGGCCAACACCGCTCGCGCGCTGCATGGCGCGTCGTGCTTTGCGACCCCCCCCCCGGCAG